ACGATGGGATATACACTCCCCGCGTATTTCCTGTGTATTTTCCGGTTGGGAACGGGAGCCAATCAGCCAGAAAGTGTAAGAAAAAATTGTGCACTCCCATTGACGCCGGTTGAAAAAAAAAGCCAAATTAAAGAGAATTTGATTACAAATTGGATATAAAAAGAAATTTTGCAAACCGATTTTATTTAAATAAATGGGAGCACTTTTTTGGTCGACATGCATACACGACTTTCGCACCCATCTAAGCTCAGGTGCCACAATCACATAACCAGTAGGAAATTGGTGGCAAATTTGAATATTAAAATTAATAAAATAAATAGACAGAGCAAATGTGTACGCGCATGCCAAGTATAGTGTTAGGCATATTCCTATTGCCATGTCGTAGTGTGTTACTGTGTGCAGTGTCTCCATGTACGATGTATACATGCATGTATGTATGTGAGTGTAACTTGTTCACATAAAATTATAGATGCAACTCATGCAACCATAAAGTGTGCATGTATAATGAGTGTGTGTGTGTGTACTTTCTACTTTTACTGTGCTAGTGTGTACATGTTTCCCTGTGCGCATGTGTGTAGAATATAGTAGTAAATATTTATACTATATACACTACTTAATATTGTTATTTTAATGAAGTACTACAATAAATAATTTTTGCATGTACGGCAGGTTGATGCAGATAGCCAGTATTGATTAAACGGGTATTTATAATATGGTATAACCTCCAAATATTACAAAATACGCCATATCCTTAAAAGGGAACGAGATGGAGCAAAAGTAACGAGTTTTACGGGCTTTTTAGAGGGAATCAAAACATCATGACGAACAAAAATAGAGGCGTTGAGTTATGAAATAGCATAACCTTAATTTCTTATGTTTTCGATGTACAACCTTCATGAAATTAAGAGGGAAAATCGTAGGAAAAGTTATATTACGTTTAGTACAGGATAATAATAATTCAGAAATGATTTTCCATGGTCATGCATGCATATAACCTTCAAATATTAAAAGTATTCCATATCTTTAAAAGGAAGCCAGATAAAAAAAAAAAACAAGTTTTACCGGTTTCCTAAAGAGGAAAAAAACATCATGGCACACAAAAAGAGAGGTGCTGAGTTATGTGAAGCCATAATCTCAAATTTTCTTATTTTTAACATTTTTCTATAAAATCAAGGTGGAAAATTTGTGAAAAAATTAGAGCATATTTGCAAAATTATTACAAATATGTTAGATATGTTCCTCATTTTTTTTCTAAACAATAACCTTAAAAATTATTTTAAACAGTTTCCGAGCCTTTCATACATGACAAATGTACAGAGAAGACATAAATATACTACCATAACCTACAAAAAAATACATATTGAACTCACATGTATTTACGAGCCTTGCATTTTACAGTATACATGTGATTTCTACATACATGCGAGAACTTCGTTCTTACTGGGGGACTCCAAGTCCCACACTCTGGTTTTTTTTTGGTCCCTATATCTATTAATTTATTTGTTGTTTTATATCAAGAATAAATAACCATTACTTCAAGTTCTTTATTTGACTGGAAACTAGAAAAATTAAATTTTGGCCAACCTTCTTAAAATCAGCCCTAGTGTGCGACATGATGGTTTGATGACCTCCCAAATAATCCTTCATGCTGTCTTTGAACTTTCAATTTTTTAAACTGACTCCTTACATTACTTTCCATGCAGAAAAAAAAGAACGAGAGTTCATCTCATAACGTAGCAAATTTATAATAGAAAATCAATATGGAAATCGATAAGGGATCCTATCTTTAGAAAAAGATGGGTTACGTGATGAAGCCTGTTAATTCGTTGCGTGATTGGCTGAGACTAGTCAAGCATGGGTAGATTTAAAAATGAGATTTTAAAAAATCAGTGAAAAGTCATTTAAATGTGTAAGTTTATAAAGATTATAGTATTACGTGGAACAACAAAGATACAATTATTGTATTTTTCTTTAAAAATATAAAAAATAAATGTTTGATTAAATTTTGGGGATTTATGCGCAGAGCGCACAGGAGGTGGGCCCCCTAGCTTTACTCAAAAAGTAATACATCACTGACAGAGAACAGACATCGTATGCATGGTATCGAACAATTTGGAAAACTAGTAAACAGAATAAAATACATTTTTAGTTAGTGCCAAATCGTTGTGTTCAATTCTTTGACCTATCGCCATAAATAACGTAAAATGTATATTTCTGTATGAATCTCTTACTTGTAACTCTCAACTGAAATCGCATAATAGCTTTGAATCCAAACCCTCAAATCAGACCATTTCTCCTAAAAATTCCTAAAATATTATAGACAAAATATGAGCGTTATGAATATCCGAATTAAAAATAAAAAAATTTATTTTTAAGAAAAATTAATTTTTTAAGGTGCTTTGAAACATTTGAGAATGTAAAAATTACAAAACCATAACAATGATATTTCATTCTTTTGTGTTAAAATAATATTTATGTTGATTTTCACGCAAAAAATATGTAGAAAAAAGTTATTTATTAAGGTCCTAGAATTGTAAAAAAATGCCAATTATCAAAACGCATGAGATACATTTAAACTGGAAGTTGTAGCTTCAAAGCTCAATTTTAAGTATTATTTTCTAAGTACCAAAAAAAAACAGCAAAAAGAACCATTTTTGAAAGTAAAGAGATCAATATCTCGGCTTTCTGCGTATTGGAGGGCTTAAATTTTGGTTAGTATCATATATTATGAAATACTATAACATACTGTGATTTTAGTCAAATCCGTCAACCTACTTTACACGTTTTTTAAAAAGATATTAGAATTATCCATACGTGTATTTAAATTATGTATATATCTAATAGTTGTATTTGAATTGAGAAGAAATGGTGTCACCTCTATTGAAACATGTCTTCATGTTTTTTCACTAATAGTATATGACATTGTCAGGGAAACAAGCCTCGTCGTAAGCGTGTATCTTCAAAAAAATTTTTTTTGAAATGTGAGGGACAAAACATTAAATTTTTTTTTAAATAAAGTTATGTATAGGTCATACTACCGAAAACGATATATTTTATGTCCCCGTCGACTACAACATTGTGTGAGAAGATTTTGATCTGAACACTGTAAACACTACAAACACTGCCGCAAACTATGTGGCAAAATCGATTTTCCACACTAATATCAGTGCGGAAAACACCTATTTTCCGCACACTATTGCGAAATAGTGATTTACGTAACAAGTGCGGAAATGACGATTTCCCGCACGAGTAGTGATTGACTCACACGAATGGCCGGAGTTGACGGGAACGAGTACCAGTTGAGCACACGAGTGCGTAGCACGAGTGTGATCGCAAGGTACGAGTTACCGTCACCGGCCACAAGTGCGAGTCTATCACACGAGTGCGGGAAATCGTCCCGCACGAGTTGCGTACAAGTTTTTTCCCAATGTGTGAGGAAAATAGGTACAAAATAGGTATGAATTTTGATTTCCAGTGTGTAACAAAATTTTTCCCAGTGTGTGGCAAAACCTTTTCCGCACACTGTGCGGCAAAAACCTTTGCCGCACACTTTTTCCACACACTGTTCGACAAAAACCTTTGCCGCACACTTATTCCACACACTGTGCGACAAAAACCTTTGCCGCACACCTTTGTCGCACACTATGTGGGAAAATCGATTTTCCACACTAATATCAGTGCGGAAAACACCTATTTTCCGCACACTATTGCGAAATAGTAGTTTTTCTACGAGTTTTAACCGAGAGGTTTGCGGCCCAAGCTGAAGGCGAGGGACGTAACGAGGTTCGTAAAGGAAACTTTTTGAACGAGTTCCGGAAAACTGCTTTTTCGCCCGAGAAAGTACCAGCCTCCCAAAACCACCTGAGGGTGGAAAAGTAAATTTTATTGAGTTTACTTTTATAAAACATTAGTTATTCCTTTAATTATAGATCTGTGAGAGAGAGTTATGCAAGTAGTTAATCATGTGTCGAGAAAAAAAGGTTACTTATCTCCCCTGAAATCTCCAATTTGTGTAGAAGACAAAGTTCGTGGTAGCTGTTCTGGGTATAAATACATATCAATATAGAAATAAGGTTAAGCAACTATACAATCTTTATTTTCGCACTTAATGCCAACTTGACTAGAAAGTGATTTACACGTAATCGCTTTTTAGTTGAAAAAAAATCTCCAAAAAAAAATAATATTGATCCAAAACCACACTTTTTCCGTCCTCTACGGTTTAAGGATAAGTTGTTTATGTATACGTTACGTCAAAAAGGTCTTAACTAATAGAAAGCGTTTTGAAGTCCACGGGATGCAATTTAATTTTTTGCATCTTCAATAATTATTTTTTTAATGAAAATGGCATCAAAAAATTGTGGAAAAAAAATTTAGAAAATCATTAATTTAAAATTTATGACAAATGCTAATTCAGTTCATAACAAAGTAGTGTTTTAATTTAACACGCAATCATGGGGCTCAATGTGTGTTACGGGCTCGTGTTTCATTAAAAAATTTACAGTTCTGACGACGCCTGCAAGCAAAACACATTTTTCTAATTTTTCTGGCTCATAGTTCTGGCACGTTTTCCATAATTTCACAAGCTCATGGTCCCATCACTCTAACCCTCTTGTAAACCACAGGTGCTTTAAGTCTCCAAGCCCTAATCAACTCCCCCCAAAAAAAGAAGTTTTGAGTATACTAGCCACAATTATTTCATACTTCTACAGACATACACATAAAGCCACACAGTCACACACATCTAAAATCCAAGCTTTAAGCTTACTGTACGTTATTAGATAGAAAATTTAAGCTCGCCTCCTAACACTAGTAACATTTGTCACGGACGTGGCTTGGCTAACTACTACTATAAAGCACAAAATATACATTCAGGGGAGACTTGACGCAACAGCGCAAGCTCCTCCACTGTCGTCAGCTTCAGGGGGTGGGAAGCTCGGCTCTCCTCCTACTCTCCCACGAGTAGGAGACCTTCAGTAGCTGGCCTAGCCGAGGACGGTACGTTCGCACCCTCGGCTACGGCACGCGCGATAGCCGCGTTCTCGTCCGAACGTCACTTCGTGCGTATGTGCGTGGACGCGGCCTTTTGGGCGAGCAAGAAAGACCAACCGGCCACCATCTCAAGAAATACACTACCCTCTACATCTGATTGTTCTTTGATCAAAAAAATAAGAAAAGTGCACAAATGAACAATGTTCTGAGGTTTCCCGAGTCGTTTACAGGTGCATCTGGTGGACGGAAGTCGAGTTCAGCAACTCGCTTCTATTCTCCCTGTCCTCCCATCCCTCTCCATCCTTTGATCTCTTTTGTTCTTCCTGGGAAAGTCACAAAAATTTTCTGGGGACATATCCTAAAGCTCAAACCTGAAGCGTGACTCCAGTACGTCATCGGCCTATACCGTTATTCATACACATAGACGTATGACAGCATATAGTTTTTGGCACTCGGTATATATACAGTTACACACACGTGCGAATATATAGAAAAAGCGGTAGTAAGAAAGAAATAGAGAGAGTGACCAGCCAGATAGCCACGACGAACTCAAAAACGGAAGAGGAGTCAAGTAGTGCTAGTTGTAGCTGTAGTATTTGTAGCTGTAAAAAGGAGCCAGTATCAGAAACCGAGGAGCCCTTGCCGAGTAGTAGTAGCCGCAAGGTGAGCTATTTTTAATTTTCATGTCAATGCTTTGAAGGGAGAGGGCGGGGGTGTTTGGTATTTTTTTCTTTCCTCGAGTCGATTTACGCCTGAGACGTACTCGCCTGGCGCCAACCATTATTGATTTTCTCGTCAATGAGAATTCACGTGTGCGTAGACGCATGTGCCCGGGCACGCATCCACGAGCATGTCGTAAGCTCTTTTATTGCTCATGATGTCATTGTGTTGAAGAGAATATTGACTACGGTTACGACAATGTTACTAAAAGTGCTGACAGAATCAATGAAAGCGCAATAACTGCCTCTCGAGCGAACGTCCTCTTCTCATCGAAAGTTTATAAAAAGTAAAGAAAATCAAGTTTACGCATCTCTGCGCTGCGCAGAAATTGTTCACGATCCTCGCTGTGACCAAAAATTCGTGGCCCACTCTGCAAGTAATCAAGGTGCAGTGATAGGGTCTTTACTCCTTTCCTCCCCAAAGGTCTTTTTCGCTTGTGCCCCCAAATTGTATACCTATACCGTGTGCGCACCTTCGCACTTGCGACCCCGATCTCTTCCGGACTTCCCCCTCGGTCTAAGACCCACATTCTCGTTTGCTCGATTTGATCGGGTGGAGGAGCGCACGCGCACGCGTTACTATTGCATTTTCCGCTGGTAGAGTTTGCTCCTAAATTCGTCCGTGGTGGATCGAGGTCCACGAATACACCTTTTTTCAAGTCAATATTCTTTGACGTTACGCGTTCTCAATCAACTGTTCATAACTCATTTTATCAACAAATTCCAAAATTTGGTTTGTTGGTGTAAAAAAAATTGTTTTTTTTTTTATTTTTATTTCTTCGATCATTCATTACCAAACAGCTACATTGTTGTAATTTTTAATCTTCAGAAATTTTTCACGCCAAAACTAAATTTATACATCATAATTAGTTATTTGTTAAAAATGTGTCAAGAATGTTATAAAAATTTTTTGAGCCAAAAAATAAGTTTTTGAATTTGCTGACAAAAATTGTTGCTAATAAATAATTGACAACGACTTACAAAAAACATTTTTATCCATTTTAATCTAGGGGTCAAAATATTTTCACTAAAAACGGACGCATACGAGCAAAACTCTACTATGCGAGCGTACCATACACCTCTCCCGTCCAGAAATTCAAGAACTAAGGCCGATTGCTGACGTTGAAGAGGGTCTTGGTTTACTTTCTTAAGTGCACTCATCTTTTTTATTTACTTGTCCTTGTATGATAAGTATACGAGATTAGATCACGACGAGAGATGCAATGTCCCGTGTGAAAAAAGTAGCAATGAAAAGTACAGTACCCGGGATAGTGAAGAAATAGGACTAGGAAAGTTAATGTAATGTGAAAAAGATCATGTATTTACTTTGATCATACCAAAGATGGGAAATATGGGTCAGGCTCGATTTTACATTGTAATTATATATACGTGGACGTTTTTTATCTGGTCTATTGGACGACATAAATGGTGAAAGATGAGAATCAATCTAATAGAAATATATGAAAGTTCAATCGTTATTGATAAAAACACACACGAAGATTGCTTACAGTATTATAGATATCTGTATATCGTTTCCGAAATTCTGTGTCTGACCAAACGCATCTTTTACTACTGACTTTCATTTGCACCTATGGCTACTACGGGGTTATTTACGGAAGCGAAGCAAAGAGCAGAAAGCGAAAGAATAGCGTTCGTCTGTATATCTGTATCACTGTAAACGTATGCTTAATCGATAAAACCAACTGCAAAGCACAAGACGCAAGCTCAAAATGACACGTCGAAAACCCACAATAAAAGGAGCAATGAGTATAAATTGCGTTCGCGTGTACAGACCTGACGGCCGAAACGAATATTTATCGTTCACCGACATTTCACGTAGTCATGCACACACATATACAAACACATACATACCCTTAACCACATACCCTCACTAACACACCTCAACTCATTGTACGAATAAGTGTGTGAAGAGAGAAAAATAAGGTGAAGAGAGGAAAGACACCCTTCTTGTCTGGCTTACTTTCTCGCAGCCCTCATGCTACAACGGATATTTAGCACAGCAGCGTCAAGTGCAAGTCAGAAACCTACTATTAGCTGGAACGAACTTACCCCCCTTTTAGACTCTCCTTCTCACTCCCTCTTTCTCTCTATCTCTCACTTCTGTTTTCTTTCGCTGTGTGTATTGTACCTTGATGTCTCGCATTACACCATCAAGTATTTTTTGCGCCCGTCAAGATAACGTGCAAGAGGCATTTCTTACAACTTAATAAGTAATCGATTGCAACCGTAAATTCTAGGAAAGTATCGACTGCAACGAATATAATTGCCGTACCAACATGCGAGTCTGAATAGTTTAATATTCTGTGGATAGTTCATTGAAAAAGAAAATCAGTGTGTTCAGTGTGTGTATGGCTGGTGTACGTGCTTAAAAAAATTCTACTGGAGCTCTGACTGTTATTACGTATATACGGAGGGTGATTGGAATTACAATAAACTTACACGCTTTCGTATAATAACTCAATTTTATCTCGTTACTATTACAAAGCTATTATTTTACGTTGGAATCAAAAAGTTGTACATTTTTTTGTATTGTCATCAATTTTCTATATACCACGTTCTTTTAAGTAAACTGATTTTTTTTGTAATTTATTTACTAAATTTTTAAATAATTATGTTTTTTAATGAAATTATTTTCAACTTTAATAGATTGTATTCTAAATGTAGCTGAACGCAACAATAATGCTTAACTCTTTGAGACAAAAAAAAGTGAGTATAGCAGAGTGACATTTTTTTAGGAAATCGTAAGTTATAGAATGAATGTTTAAGATACATGCTTTTATTTTGTAAAAAAAAATACGTATTTATTGTTTCATCGTCTATGGCTATAGTTATGTAATAGTTTTATCAAGCACAACAAATTAATGATGAATAATACATCCAGTGAGAAATAGGTATAGTTGTGTAAATAATACATCATAATTCTGCTTAAATTTCTTAAAAAACTTTATTTGAAGTTACAATAAATTGTTGCTGAGTTTTTGAAACATTAGCGTTATCTTAATTTTCACCATTATTCACATCTAATCATCATAATAATCGTGAGCAAAGGACCAACAATAAAAATTTCTCTCCAACTTTATGTGATGCGAGTTGAAAGTATCATGTTATGTGGGTATTTACAATTTTCAGCTCAAATTGTTCAATTAAGATTGTCCAGTAAATTATAATTCACTTTTATTGTGGAAGTAAATATGAACAAGAGAGATAAGACATTTAGAAACAAACGTGAAGTTAAAAAGTAATAAGTTTAGTGATAAGCTTAAGAATAAATAAAAAATTTTTCTTCATAGGTTGCGTGATGTTGATAGGTGTCACAAGTCGTGCAAATAATAGTAGAAAGAAAAGAGTAAATTTGGTTTGTAACTGAAAATTTTTAATTGATACTTTTTTTGGCAAAAATTTTTAGAAACGGAAACTAAATTCGGATAAGGACTTGTTTCCACTAGAGTATCTTTACTTTTAACAACGCAATTTTTATCTTTTTATTAATTGTAATTTCTATAGTACAAAAAGTGAAAATCACTAAACTTATATCAAAAGGTACTGTTTATATCAGAAATACAATTATACTTAAATTAAAAAATAATACAAAAACAGTCAAAAATCTCTCGATGACGAAAAAATCACAGGTTATCACTCTAGCACGATGATTTTCATAATTTTTTTCTGTTCGCGTGATAAGTATACGTGAGTATTGTAAATTTTGTGTAAATGTTGAAAGAGTACGCCTACTTGCGTGTATTATGAATAAATAATATTTTCTTTTTTAACAATACTTGATAAAAAGTAAAATATCAGATAGCTTCGCCCATGCCACTGACGAATTATTAATGATATTCCATGCAAATGTATGCAGTGTAAGTACATGAGCGCGCGGTGGGTCAGTTGGCTAGGTCGTGGAGTGGCACGTGGGAGACCGTGGTTCGATTCCCGGCCAGTGGGACTTTTCGGGCAAGTACCTTTGTGATTTTTCACATGTGCTTTTCCACTACGCAATGCTCCTCGAGGAGGGTTTAGGTGACTTTCTCGCAGCAAAAATTGCCTAATTTCCCCCTATCCCACTCCTATAATAGGAGGGTCTCCCATCCCTTTCCTTGTCCCTTTCCCAAGTGCTAAGTGGTAGTCAATTCAGTGACGATCGATGCGATGTCACTAGACGAAAGCTTCCTTTTATATTAGTAGTATGTTGGTAATGAAATTTGTTTAATTTTCAACTGAATCCACTTGCTACTATATATAGTTTACCATATATTCATACAGTCAGCTGTCGAATAATTTAATATTAATGATTGACATAATTTACTGCGTTATTACCCAACAAATAAAAATTGAAAAATCATAAAAGTTTTCATGTTATTATACAAATTCAAATTTTTTTATTGCGCGCGCTCCCTAGACCAATATGGCTGGCAGTGTTTGTCACTGCACTCACCGAACGTAACTACAGACCAAAATAGTATTTTAGCTATATTATCAATTTTTTTATCGCCAACGCCTATAAAGTCATCCGGTTTTTTAAAGATAAGAATGTCAGGGTTACGATAAGTATATTTTTTTTGCTTGTACATTCCATTTTAGTAGTTTAATTGATAGTCAAACGTTTGCTTCAGGCCTTCGGCCATAAGAGACTGTGTTAAGCGAGCTCGAAAAGTGCTGACTTTAAATTGAATTATCTCCGGATTTTGATCGCCAACCCATGAAAATAAAGATACCAT